TTTTCCATTTACCGATGCTTCAAGCAGGTTTATTTGTTTATTTGGCTCATGAATGGATTCTGATAGGGTGTTGGAGGTCCCCTTTGAGGAGAGTGTTATTTGATTGGGAGTGAGGGGTATGGTGCAGTTTTTGGGGAGTTGTTAGTGTTGAATTATGAGTCTTTTTTTTGAATAAAGACTGATGTAAATCTCCAGAAAAATTAACACAAAGTGTTGGAAATATGCAGCAAATTAACACAAGTTCTTGGAAATATGCAGAAAATTAATACAAATTGTTGGAAATATGCAGATCTTCATTAAATCAGTATTGGAAATCTGTTTTTCGGAAGTTACATAATCATTAAATCTGGTTTAATGTTTATGTTGACTACCTTAAGTTTGTTTTCTATTTAAGGAGCTGAATGTATGCTGAAAAAATCAATCAAAAATATTTTAGCAACTTTTCTGCTATACACGCATTTATAAGGCCTAACTAAGAGATTGAAGTTCAATTAAATATGGAATTCTAATTAATATTAGATTTCTAAATAGTAAACATGAAATTCTAATTAGTATTAGATTCTTAAATAGCATATAATTTTCCATTAATATTAGATTACTAAATAGTATAGGATTTCCAATATTTTACTAAAATATTCTTAATTAAATTTAAAATTAAAATTCATAAATAAGAATTATAATGTTTATATAGCAGAGTATGCTAGATATTAATAAAAACAAGTTAAAATATTATTTTAAAATACGAGATTGGAGCTCTCTCTAACAATATTCAAGGTAGCAGCTCCCTTTGATGAGTTGTAATCTATTTTTATAAAATACTTTACTCAAGAAATCGCAACAAGGAGAAAAAGAAAATTCTGGAATCGAAAATTCCAGATAACTGCCTAATGGCAAGATTTTGATCTCGAAAATTAACAAATTACTATCAGAGCCTAACACGATGAACAACTCTGCAATAAAAGAAGATCTATGATTAATGCTTCAAGAAGCCCTGGCCTCAAACGAGGCACGGAATACAGAGATTAAAAGACAATTGGGCAGCTAGTTGTAGAAGTTATCTTTGCAATTTAAAGAGATACTGGCTAGCTTTAATCGTGATAGACGAACAGAATCAGAAGAGATTGCAAGCAATAACCACCCTCGGGAACAGGCACCTCAAGTGCTTCACACCGAAAGTCAATCACGGAATGCAAACAATTATCCAGGAAATAGAGCTGTTTCCCGCTACACCAAGTTAGACTTTCCAACGTTCGATGGCTCTGAAGATCCTCTAATATAATTGCATCGATGTGAAAAGTTTTTTGCCAACCAACACACACCAAAAAAGGATAAGGTGAGATTGGCTGCCTTCCATATGTTTGGAGAGGCGAAATTATGGTATCACTAGTTAGAATCTGAACAACCTACACTCAACTGGACTGAATTCAAAAACTATTATTCTTTGAAATTTGGGCCGCCAACAGGAAGTAACCTGTTGGGGGAACTGGTAAACTTGAAACAGACGAAATCCGTTACAGACTACTAGAGGCAGTTCCAAGAAAAATTGGCAAGAGCAAATAAGTCATTCGGGTTGATCAGTAGGTAAGTTTGTTCACAACATGATTGATGGATTCTCTCCGTTTAGAGATTGAGATGCAATCACCCACCACTCTTATACATGAAACGAGTATGACCAACG